ACATTCTTGGCGTGTGCAGAATTGCTGCTGGGAGGAACAACCAAAACACAGGTGTGATACAGTTATAAGGAATGTCTGAGAGCCAACTTTTACATGGGACCCCCATCCTTCACCTTTGCACATGCAATGGCATGGTCCACACCTTTCCATCTCAGCAAGAGCACCTAGTCAGGAATGTGGCCTGAATTCTGTATACAGCTTAAAAAACTCCTGCAAAACCAGACTCTGCACCCTAGTTTTAACTACACATTACTTACTACTACAGCATAAGAAAATCCTCTTCTTTTACAGGAAAAAAGCCTGCAGTCTTGCTACACCATGGTGCTTTAGGAGATGCTACCCAATGGATTTCTAACCTGCCCAACAACAGCCTAGGCTTCATCCTTGCAGATGCCGGCTATGACGTCTGGATGGGAAACAGCCGAGGAAACACCTGGTCTTTAAAACACAAGACCTTTAAGCCCTGCCAGAAAGAGTTCTGGCAGTTCAGGTACTCTGTGGAGAAAGAATTGCTGAAGAAAGCAAGCAAGCTTTGACTAGCAAGTTTGGATAGTTAATATTGGGATGCAGAACCTTTCTCCTTCTGGTTATATGAAATAATTCCCTTTTGGATTATATGAAAACCCTACTGGTTTTCATATAATCTGACTTCAAGGAGGACATGCAACATCTAAGGAGACTGGACCAACTCTTTTCCTCAGATGCAGCCACTTCTGGGCATGTTAGGGGGGTCATAACAAGGGCTTGGCTATGTGATCTGGACAGGCTCTTCTGGAATCAGCACATACAGAAGCAAAGCTGGAAGTACACAGGTCACCTTTGTCGATACACAGTGCTAGTTTCTTTGAGATTTCCAAAACTGGGATGTGTCTGTAACCTTGAAGTCTCCCACCAGATACCATGTGCCAAGTGCAGACAGGAGTGGACACTACTCAGCTCAGTCTAGAAATCTGATCTCTCACAACTGATGTTAACTGAGAGAGAAACGTGTTTTGTAACCCATGCTAGTGAAAGCACTGCTTAAATTCAGTTCCCCAAGGGCTGCAGCTGGCAGGTGAAACTGGCACCTTCTCTGCAGAGAGTCCCAAGCATCAGGCAGCCTGGCAGTACACCTGTGTCCCTCTACCCCCTTCCCCAGCTCAAGCAAGAATGCAGACAAAGCGTGCAACCTCGTCTTTCAGTGGGTCCTGCTTGGTGCAATGAACAAAACTGACATTCAGTAACTCACACTATGGTAGCCGAATTGCCTGCTAGCTTTTTGTGTTTCTCCCCTGTAGCTTTGATGAAATGGGTAAATACGATATTCCAGCAGAGTTGTACTTCATCATGAATAAAACTGGACAGAAGGATGTATACTATGTTGGTCACTCTGAAGGCACAACAACAGGTAATGTTAAGACTGCCTGGGTACAAAACAGTTAACTTCACTACCTGAATGGAATATGTCTCTCTCTGTTAACTATCTTTATCATAAAAAGTTATTAAAGGAAGAAGTACTTTCTAAACTGACACTTGCAAAGTTTGGGAAACTTTTCTAAGAACAGTTCTATCTGAAACAAGTGAAAAACAGATGATCCAAAACCACTTTTAACTTCTGTACGTAAGGATTACTGATATATAAAAGCTATTATTTACCAGGTACCCTGTACTACAGTTTGCTAAGTATCCTTTCTTATTATGCTCTAAGCTTTTATTGTTGTTTTTTCATAGTCTTCCAGCAATCTGATGTTTTTGTTAAAGTTTCAGTAACAACGAGCTTTCATTAATCTCAGTTTTTAAGATGTATATGTTGAATCCTCATGGGTTAGATGTAAATGCTAATGCAACAGTCCATAAAACAGTTCAAACAACAGAAGACAAAAAAAAATAAAATTACTGTCATAACTTAATGCCAGACTTACTATTTAAAGCATAGTTCATCTATGACTATAACTTACCATATTACTATTTAAAAACAAATTGCCAGACACTGGAAATAAGAAAAGAAAGATCAATGCTAAAAACTTCTTTGTATTAGCACCTGCATATCAATATCAACTTACTTATGGTCTTTGAAAGTTGTTATTATGTATGATTTACATGTAGGATCCATGAGTAGATACTGGGGTTTATGCCATGGTGTGCCATTGCCCTTTTACAAAAATAAACTTGGAAACGGAGCAGAAAATCGGGGGAAATGGCATGTGACCACATTCTTAGGCAATTATTTTCCTTTCTTTTCATAAGTGCATTCTAAGGGTCTTTTGAACAACTCATTCAGGCCAAGACATCACTTTGTCTATAGATACCTGTGTTTTAGGCAATCAGTTAAAGTTTTCACCAAATCCATCAGTGGAGAAATTTGGACGTGTTAAGAAAACAGGACAGGATGCACCCTTTTTGCTTTTCCTTCCTTCCTTCCTTTATGTGTGCATTCACTCTCACCCAAGTTTGTGCTTAGTTTCAAGTAAAAAAGTTCTGCTCTTAACCTACCAGCTTTCAGAGAATTATTGTATTACTGCATGCCAGCATAAATGTATAGAGTCTTTTAGAGACTGCAAGCTGAAAAACTCATTATTTTATTACAGTTTGGGGAACTTAGAGGGAATTTGTATTAAGAAAATCTGATTAATGCATCTTCTCCCGTAAAAATGGCCTTAATGCAAAGTTATCAGTTCTTAGAAAATCAATATCTGGACATGCTCTAATGAACCTCCATCTTTAGAATGAACTCTGTCTCCCAAATAAAAGTTTCAAGAAAAAAACATTTTCCTTAGGTCTGCAGCAGAGACAACAAACAATGGGCTGTTAATCTAGTCTCACTACTTCTTTACTGCCTACTGCTTTTTTATTTAATTGGTCTGTAGAGATCTCTTCACTAACTGGACTTGTGTCTTCTGTGTTTGCAGGCTTTGTAGCATTTTCTACTTATCCTGAGTTGGCTCAAAGGGTTAAAGTGTTCTTCGCTTTGGCACCAGCAGCCACAACCACACATGGTACCAGTCCGCTGATAACATTGACACGTCTTCCCCAACCACTGATCAGGGTATGTCACTTCTCTTTCTAGAAGACATAATTGTCTGCTTTGTCTCTACTGGATTCTCTCAACCTGAACTGATATTAAGGGGGTGAGGAGTTAAGAATTAGTTCAGTGTATCAGACTGCTGACAGTGCTGGTAGATTTCAGACCTTCCATAGAGCTAAGCTGCAAGGCTTGACACGGTATCTCTTTTGGAACTTCTTTAACATAACAGGTATACTTTCACCATTATATGTTTAAATCAAGTATTTTTGAAGGAAGCTCACAAATACCAGAATAAAAGGAGTCTAACATAGACTAAATCTTAAGGCTACTAAATCTAGCCTTAAGCACTAGTAGAAAAGGACAAATAAGGTATTTCATATCTTAATTTTATTAGACATGCAGTTACTTTATGCTTGTGAAATATTTACTTGCAAAATGATAAAGTAAACTTAAAGGGAAATACCTATTTCACATGAGAATTTGCCAATTCAATAGAATTTGCTGGGAAAGGTGGAAATCCTGCATGCTATACTTTATGTCAAACTGCAGGAGCACATGCTCTTTCTGTCCAAGCTGTACCCATTGTGTGACCATAGAGCATCCAGCTCTACAGCTTTCTCATTTGTCTGCTCCCTCTTTACTTAATAGCAATACTCACAGTACAGTTTGTGCATCTGCCGGGAAGAAATATTAGGGCAAAAAGGGACTTCTTATACTCTGCAGTCATGAGCATAGCCAACCGCCCTTTCTGACTGAGGTCAGTGCACTAAAACCAGATGGATAGTGACCTCCAGGACTCATGCCCAATAATAAGAAGCAGGAAGAACATGTGGTGTGCTCTTGGGAAGAATAAGCTTTAAAGGATACGGAGATGGCAACAGTTTCAGCAATCTTAGTTAAGAGGCAAGGCTATTAGAGAAGAAGGAGTGTCAGTTTTCTGCATGAAATATTCCTGCAACAAGGAAAAAAAAAAAAAGTTTTGCACTTTTCCTCCCATCAGTTACTACTGGGCTGCAAAGGAACTTTGCACCAGAATGAACTGCTGAAAGGGCCTCTAACGTGGATCTGCAGATCTCTGAGAAAAGTTTGTTGCGCTGCCCTCAGCTACCTAACTGGGGACCGCACACAAAGTCTGAACGTGGTAAGCATGTCCAAGAACACCTTAATACAAGTAAAGCTAAAGTAACTTTGAAGGAAAATAATTTTTCTGCCTTATGTCTGCATACAGTTGCAAGGACATAGAGAAATGTGTTGGTGTTTTCAAGTAATGCTAACTAGGACCTCAGCTAATGATGAGATGTGCCACCTGACACATTCAAATCACACAAGGAAGAAAGGTTGAATTCAGAATGGTCCCATCTTGCAATGATGTCCCTCAGTGTCCCTTCTTCTGGGGCTAAGCCAAAGAAAAGCTGGACAGATACCAAAGCTTTTTAAAATGGAGAAATGGGTGGAGAAAGACCTTTTCTCTTTTGCACAATTCATATTTCCTTTCCTAAATAGGAAGACATCCAGACCATCTGAACATAAGAGCTTGTTTCTTTATGGTCACTATACATCAAAACATTTCCAGCCAAAACTCAAAGCTGTTTCTTCACACTTCTCTCAACAGCAAGATCTCAGTCCTTTATTCTAGCTGCTACCTTTCTTTCTCACAGATCTTCCACATGTCTGTTCTCCAGTGGCCTTTGATCTCTCATACTCAGACTATTTAACAAGGGTTCCCATAAAAAATCTCCCACACATATAGCCTCATTATGTTTGAGCAGTCTATTAACAATCCTCCTTTACTGATTAAGCGCAGCACTATTTAAAAGCATCATACAAAACGTAGAAACTGGGGAAAAAAAAAAGCCATACACACTCCTCAAATGAAGTTTTACATACAACTAAGCACTAATGAGGGAAAGAATTTCCCAAAGGGATCAAATTCTACATACTCATTCCTGTTTGGTATTTGAAGAATATCATATTAAAAAAGGGGTTTTAACACAGCAGCATTGTGCTGCTCAGGTCCTTCACAGCTTTATTCTCTCACAACACTGGCTCCCTGCCTTTATAACCCTTCTGATTTCTCTCCAGAGCCGAATAGACACATACGTGGGACATTCGCCTGCTGGAACATCAGTACAGAACATTATTCATTGGCATCAGGTATAACTGCATGCTGACATAGAAACAGACTCTTACTACTGCTTTTTGGGCAAGCGACAGCCTCCAGGGAAGTCCAGCAGCGGTGGATCTGGGAAAGTGCCCGTCACATCTTCTCACGTGCTGCCGCGAGCACCTGCCACAGAGGGAGCACTGTTTCCCAGGGCTCACCAGACCATTACCTGAATTGCCCCTTTGGTATCAGGCACTGCGATTTCCCCAGGGCACATCAGGCCTCGCTGCATGTTGGGCTCTAATGGCTTCCAGCCTGCATCTTTATTTATGAAGACATTTGCCTTGAAAGCTGCAGAAGTGAATGCAAGCATGGCCTAGGCACTTGGCAGGCACCAGGAGGACAGTGGAAACTTGAGCAGCCAGGGCGTGAGCTAGACAAAGAAGTGATCCAGCTTAAAGCTTTTCTCCCAGAGGGTTAAGTGCAGCCTGGATCACCTCCCAAAGCCAGTTAATCACACAAAGGCTTCTGCAGGCGCAACAGCAAAGTGGGGAACTGCCTCTTCTGCTGGTATCTACACCACTCTCAGACCTAAGCTTGTTCTGCTTAAGCTCCAAATCAGATGAGGGTGAGAGAGTCAGCTCAGAAACACATCACTGCACGTGCACAGAATCATGGCCACTTCTGCCAACACTTAATATGGTTTTAAATATATGCATGCTCCTGCACACACTCCTGACTAAAATTCCCAGGATCCAGATGACCAGCACCCACATCCAGAAAACAGAGACAAGCTAGCAGGTTTCTATCATATCCTCAATTACTTAAAGGTTTGGATAAAAAAAAAAAAAAACAAACTAATGCACACACATTTTCAGTAAGACAGATTTTTTTTTTTTCTTTTTTTTTTACTTTTAGACAAAATATATTCAAGAGGACAACAGTTTAGTGTTAAGCCAATCACACCCTTCTCCCAACAGTCAAACTCATGTAAGAAGTACAGAGCCTCTGGAAATGTCACCACCACTGTGAGCAGTCCAGACAAAACAGACACACAAAAGACATGATGTGTGAGGAGGCATCATACGTTACACTAGACTAGTAATAGCCCTGACACGTTCTAGACATTCAGGTCCTCTTTCCGTGTGACAACTGAGCCCAACTCTGCATCACGAACAGGGACCCCAACTTTAGTTATCTAAGGTAGTCAAGCAAAATATTAATAACAAAACATACCAAGGGTGGCAGCTGAGAATCAGGAGAGAACGTTAGCAAGGGGGAAGGTGATGAAGCCACTCACCCTACGATCCATCCAGTACCCTGGGAAGCCTGCAAGCAGAGGAAGGGGTGGGAGTAACTCACAGTCCACTGCCTGAGCCTTGGCTTCCATCACAGGCAGGAAAATGCATCCAGCACTCTGCT